AATAAGAGATCGTATGTTTATACCCATTTTATCTATTTAGTAGCAATCCCATTTCGTTTTATTGAAACATCTTCTTCACTAATCGTTAGACTAATTAGACTCAATAAACTCATCTCAGAAATTGACCAATATAGACAGCATAAAGTCATCTGGACCAAAACTAAATAAGCTTATTGTACTGGTATATTCTATTTAGCTAATGTTATTAAAAACGTTGTTTATAGCTAATTATTTCCGTATACAATTAACTTAATTTCTAAAATTTCCACTTAAAAAATTAAGCTTCCCATTTCAACTTTATTAAACCACCGAGCACCAAATAAATGCTTATATAATATATTCGTATTACTCAGTATAAATTGTGTACCATCTAATTCATTCAAATATATTCAATTTTCAATCTGTTCACCGTTTCAAATACAAATCGCCGATAAATGCACAACAAATCCGCGTTAATAAAATTTAAATCACTTCACTTCCCAAACAAGAACAAATATGTATTACAGGGATTATGTAAAAGCAGTAGCATCATACCCTCATCTACTCATTCACTTTATAACTGTTAAACCACTGGTGTCTCAATAGAGTTTAAAAACATTAAATAAACTGCCGCAATCACCATGAACAATGCTCCCCCGCAACTAAGGCAAAGAACGTTAACGTTTCGACTCATTTTCCATGCACCCTCAAGTCCTACACAACCTGCATGACGACAACACGTCCTCGTTGCTGCTACACCAAGATATAAAAGCATCTGTTGTATGCTGGGGAGAGGAAGTTTTTTTAAAGCTATTAGAGATTGTTTAATGCGACTTGAACCAAAACATATTTTATGGATATGACCCCATCCATGCCACTCGAATCTTTCTTTGTACCGTTGTATGTTATAGGCATAGCATTTTCAAGTGCAATTTCGCCGTTATCCTGTTTAACTTGTTGTTGTCTAGCCATAACTGTTTTCATTACTGTTTTCCTTGTTACCGACTGGTCTATTTTGTTTTTGTTGTAAGCGAATTTCATTTACCACCCACATTGCCAAATATTTAGACATGATTTTGCAGCCCCTCACTGTTGTTGCGGCCGACGTTGTGACGCAAGGGGAATAACGAATTTATTTATTTCGGTATTTTTATTGAGTAATAGTGGGTGGCAACTGGGTGGTGAAATTGACTTTCGCAGGTTGGGATTTTTTCTAACTCTCCCTCGTCTCCACATTCCCACTCAAATGTTTGCACATTTAAATGTCGTTAATGGCGGGCAAAAATGCCTTTTTGGGCAGGGCCAACATTTAAGCGGCATTTATTGCTTTCGTGGAGGGCTGGCTGCGAGAAGTGTAAAGCATCATTGAGCAGTTATTGAAATTAATTGGAAATTATTCTCATATTCAGCGGTCTAATGAGTTCGAATCAATTAGAATTAATTGCTTTTATAGAAAAGTTCAATATTTTAAATAGCCATTTTAGAGGTTTTAACTCTTATTTCAATTAAATATAAAATAGTTTCTTGAGTGGTAATGGCAACATCCTGTGAAAGAAATGATAGTGGTAGTAGTGTTCATACTAAAAGCAATTTTAACTATTAAAACACTTTTATCTACAAATATGAGTAAAATAAACAAGCCAAAAGTTAAAGTTAACGAAAATTTTTAAGAATGAACATTGAAATAAATTTTTGTCAAAATGATTTTATTTAAAACATTTATCGGTTCTTATAATTGTTATATGTCTAGTATGTACCAAAAAAAAATTATTTAAAATTTTCTAGGATATGTAAAAGAGAAACTAATTCGCGTATATACAGACGGACATGACCAAAACATCGCAGCTAAGCACTCTCGTTATTTATATATACTGTATAGGGTCTTCGAAATTTCCTTCTGGGAGTTACAAACTTTATGGCAGTCTTAATATAACCTATATCATATGTTAGTAAGGTCGAAAGCTTAGTAGGCTTATGAATATAAAATTCGCTCATTTTGACTTTGTGGAGAAATCTAGGTTGTTTTATATATTTCGGGATTTGGCAACCCTACTGTTTCAATCTGGCCACTCACAACGTTATCGTAAAGTTTGATATTTTTGATGTTATGCATACTCAGAACATTTTGACACACAAGCGTGTTGTTTACAGTAACTTCAAATATTCATCTTCGACGGGAATTAACTTATTAACATTGCATTAATGAACTTAATTCAATTTTTGGCGAGGAAGCTCTAACGAGGACCAGTGTTGATCGATGGTATGGTGAATTCAATCGGGGTCGTAGATCACTCCAAGACGAATTTCATGAAGGTCGTCCAAAATCGGTTATCGTTTCGACAACTATATTGCAAGTGTTGACCTACCTTGTGATTGAGACAACTATAGGCATTAGTGGGACGTTGGATCCCTCACAATTTGTCAATCGCTCAAAAAAAGACTCGTGTCGATTGGTCGAGCGAAATGTTAAAAAATTACAATAGCGATGCTTCGAAACACGTCTATGACATCGTGACAGGTGATGAATAGTGGACGCTTATGAGCCCGAAAGTCAACAGTAGTCGACTGTTTGGGTGTTTCTAGGTGAGCCGAATCCAACAACAGTTGTTCGCGTACGAAGTACTTCCAAGCTTGTTGTCGTTGTCTGCTTTTAGGAAAAACAGGGCATGTCGCAACCATACCACAAGAATAACGTAGAACGGTAAGTTCTGAGTGGTACACAACCATTTGTTTGCCATTTGTCTTTCAAGAAATTACGGAAACCAACCGCCGAAGATGGGTTACTTTTTACTACGACAAAGCAAGCTCTCACACATCGACTGAAGCAATTACAATTTTGAGCACTCAAAGCATCGATTTGATGAGTCATCCACCGTATAGTCCTAACTTGGTACCGAATGACTTCTTTTTATTCCCGTACGTAAAAAAATAAACTAAGAGGCCAACGTTTTTCAACACCTGAAAAGGCGGGTGATGCGTTCAGAACGCATGTTTTGGAGATACCTCAATCAGTGCTTTGACAATAGGTTCAAATGCATGCAAAAGTGTAAAGATTTCAATGGAAAATATTTTGAAAAATAATAATGCGATTTTCGATGATTAATACTTTTTTTTGTTTTCTTATCTCGAAATGTAAAAGGTAACCCTCGTATTAATACCAAATAAATTTTTCATTCGATTCGTGATAGCTGATATTACGAATATTCATATGAGATAAGAAACCCCTTCTATGAAGAACGTCGGTTTTTGGGGATTCCACATTTTTGGAATATCTATAACCACCTACATAAGTTACATTGCGAACTTAATATTTTAATTAATTATTATAAATAATACTGGCATGCATGCATACATATGTACAATAAATATACATATGTACATAATATTATTATACGGAATCTTTTTCCAGTTTCTGCCCATCGTTACGTCTGATTGTTTTGTTACAGAGGATCACAGTTGGACAGTGGCAAACAAAATTTTTAAAAGTAGACTTGGCCTTCGTATTATTTCAATATATAATATATCTCAATAAACTGCTAAATCTTTGTTACAAAAAATTGTTGAGATCATGGCATCTTTTCCCAGCCTACTTTGCTAGGCAGGAAATATATACAACATATTCTGTCAAACCTTTCACTGCTATTAAGTAAACTTATTAGATTAGACATACAGTAGGTTGGGTTCAATCATAAAAGATATCAATTCAGAACTTTCTTAGATTATACATATCTTACATCAGAGATATTCACTACCACATGTTTAGTATGAAGTCACCACCATTTTTTGTATCAATAGCGCTGTGATAAGAATTATACGTTTGCCAGTTTTTGTTGCTATTCAAGTTCCTCTTTATGTATATTACCGTGGTTACGAACTGATTTTTTACTTTGGTTCAATTAAATTCCAACGCGTCCTCAAGAGTTCAATACACTTTTGTTGAACGAGTATATTTAAGTCGTATTCCTATAAAATAAGTAATTTATTTATTATTATATATTAACAAGTCTCATAATAATTTTCACGACACAGTACATGAATCTCTAATTATGTTAGACAAAATATCTTTTTATTAGCGCCCTACTAATCTATGAAATGTTCTAAATCTGTGATGGTATAAATTTTCCCGTAATATGTAGATGTAATACATCTAGTATATTAATATTCTTGATATCCAATTTTAGTTAATATATGTGACATACTCGACCTGTATGTAAAAAATGTAAAGCCAGCTACAAATTGAAAGTCCATTAGTGCAAAAGATAAGAAAAGGCAAATGAAAATATTGAAAAAATTCATGATTCCCAACTAGTATCCTCTTAGCTCGACACACCCTACCCAGCGATCAACTTGCCCAACTAAGACTCTGTGGTGACGATAACCAGCTCGTTCGTCTGAAATTTCTGCCCAAAAAATTATTATTTCAAATTATCAAACAAACAAAAGACGCAAGGGGCAAAATCTAGAAACTACTATAGATGGTGCAGCAGTTTGTAGCCTAATTCAAACAATCCATTTGGTCGTCACGAAGGCGTATATGTGAGCCGGTGGGTTTTCATGGTGCAAAAGCGAAATAAGGCCGTTTGCTGCTATTCGACAAGGAATCACTCCAATAATTCGATATTGTATTGTAGACTCGTTTTGTACTTCTCTAGCTTTTGAATATACTAGATAATGTGATGTCCACTATTCCTTGGTCTCTGATGTTTTTTTTTTTTTTTCTAGTATGGGGAAGCATCGAAAACCGGCGTGCGGAACTTTAATCCGCTGAACCGGAACCACTGGATTAGGTATTACTTCGTGGGTCTCTGGTGTATACCATGCGATCCGTTTGAATAAAAAAACTCTCACTTCAGAGCACCTAATGTGCAACTTTAATAGGTGAACTACGAGTGAAATATACCTATACATAAATTTATAAACTCACTCGATTTTAATGGTTATGAACGAACGTAATCCTACATAATCATTAAGCCTAGGTTACCATATTGCCTTCATAAGCTAACAAAAAAAAAACACAGAAATTACTTAAAATGTCGATGCGCACATTTATTTGTAATAATCATAATAATATTAATATTTTTTGCGATATTTAAAAGTATTTTACAAACATCTCATGCATCTTTGCAACACTGAAAGCACCGTATATTGTATACAGAGTTAGACACAGTAAGTCCTGAATCTTTCAATACACAAGCTAACTCTAAAATCGACGAATACTTTAAATATTCCAAAGATGTACTTCTTGACTGCTCATTCGTCATATTTCGTCTTCATAAAATTAACACTTTTGTTTTAGTTTCGAATGCCATAAAATTAAAAAGTAGTATTTTGGTCTTTAAACTAAGCAAGCTAGAATTTTAAATTTTATATATTAAATATATTTAATATTTGTTTAGTTGCAGTTGCACTTTTTCGTTACATAAATTTTACGTTATTTATATATGTAAGTTTTTAGCTAAAAATCAACAATATTTATTAAATTTATTTTCTTAAGATTCTTTAGTTTTAGTATTATTCAAAAACTAGCTATGCACTAAAGATATACTTGTAATATTTTCATTTGTATTTATGTGCAGTGTATTTCTTCTAAATTCTTTATTTATGTTTTTGTTATTTTTTTATAAATACGGTATAGCAAGATATTTATTATTTTAGCAGATAAAGCCCATCGCTAAATTATAATTTTACTTTTATCTGTGATTTAATTTTATTTAAAAATTCCTTAACACTCGTACATATTATCAAAAGGAAAAGAAGCACATTCCAAATAAAGGGTGACTCAAAGGCTTATAGCTTATAGGTTTAGCATTTCCATAAGCACATTCTAGCTGAGTTAATGCAACATTTAAATGTTTATTTTCTATCAATTGGACTAGAAATTTTTTTCTATTCATTACCCATTGCTACAAGTGATATTTTTTTCGAAATGAATAAGAGTACTTAATTTTTGATGAAAGATTTCTTTCTTGTTTGGTGTTTTATTTTATGTTAATATTTATGGTGTCGCTTTTTATAAAATTTTTAAACAATTTACATTCATAATGTTTACAACACTGGTCCTTCAATATATTTCGCCGCTATTTACACAATTTGCTCTCACTTCTTAGTTGAAACGAAAAGCATTTCGATATTCCTTTTCTTTTTAGTTGTACATAGAGTTTAGCATTTTTGATTGTTTTATATTTTTAACAACACATTGTTACAAGCATTATTTACAATAGAGTTTGTATACCAATATGTTTTAACTTAACCCTCATTTAACCTTTTCCTTCGCAAATTTGACCTTCATTTTTTTTATGTAACCTTCATTCCACACATTAGTTGTCGAATTATTAGACCGTTGGACCCATTCCGAGCGTCACCTCAATTGGTGAACAGAAAGGGTCCCAATGACCCTCAAACCATTGGTGGTTTAATATCCACCAAAGTGCTGTGATGATCTAACCCCGGGCTAGGCGCCGAATTGCCAACCAAATGATGATGGTGGTGATGATGCAAGTGAGCATGCGCATGTTGCTGTTGTTGATGATGCTGCAATTGAGCTTGCGCCTGCGCCTGTGCCTGCGCTTGTGCCTGCGCTTGTGCCTGTGCTTGTGCTTGTGCTTGTTGCTGCTGCTGTTGATGATGTTGTTGCTGAGCGTGCAGCATCACTGGGGAACCGCCAGACATATTGTGCGGTGATGACAGATGCAAGCCGCCGGCCAACAGTCCACCAGTTGGTGTGGTATTTCCACCGCCGCCAGACTGATGAGAATTGGGCGTGCCAGGATGACTACCATTACCAGTTTGCTGTCCATTGCTGCCGCTGAGACCATTTGATTCGCCAGATTGGTTGCCAGGTTCCTCCGAATCGCTACATGACTCCGATGAACCCTTCTTCATGCTGCCGCCTTGACCAGTAGCGTTGTGTGTCTTAACATGCTTAGCAAGGTGATCGCTGCGCATAAAGCGTTTGTTACAGATGGGACAAGCGAATCGCTTTTCGCCGGTGTGCGTTCGCAGATGACGTTGTAGTTCATCGGATCTTGTAAAACGTTTGCCGCAGAAAAGCCAATTGCAAACGAATGGTCGCTCCCCAGTATGCCAACGCAAATGCGCTTTCAAATGCGAAGTCTTACCGTACACTTTGCCACACCCAGGTATGTGGCACGAGTGTATATTCTTCTTGCGCAGGTGCACGCCAGCTGGACCCAACCGCTCAGCTTCCTGGCAATTCGGACAATCGCATGTGGCTCGACCTGCGTAACGTCTTTGTGAACGAGGCGATGGTGTTGAGGGCGTTGATGCTTGCGGCGAGGCCGCAGTGGAGGCGGCCGACGGAGAACTATGTGGCAGGGAGAAACCACCCACACCTTGACCAGGCAACATACTTTTGTATGTGTCTTGTAGTAAATGTTGACCAGAGCCTAACAGATGTGCCGTATTTGAAAGCGAATGCGACAGTGCAGAAGAGTAGTCTGAGCCGGCGGCTGTGGCGTAGTTTGCCATGGTTGAATGCATACCAGCGCCACCCATATCTAGCCAGCTGCCAGCAGCGCTGTGCATATCCCACCAACCGGAGTTAACGCTTGCTGCCTCGGCCGCTTTATGCGCTGATGCAGTAACCGCATTAAAGGGCCAATCATATGGATGACGTGAATAGACTGAGCCGAATGTAGCGCCCTCCACTTTGCCCAACAAGCCCTGATGCATGTGATGATTGTCAGAGACCATGCTGCCGCCAGGGCTGCTCGTATTCGGAAAGTAGAGATCGCTTCCATAAGCTGAGGGATTACTGACAGCAGCACAGGATGAAGGAATCGGGCGACTGTAAGGATAAATGCTGAAATTATTATCAGTTATAAGTATCGCTGCTCAATTGGTGGTATGGTGGAATAGTGGATAACAGGAGGAAGGTGTAAAGGTTTACGGTACTTAGTAATAAGAGCTTACCTAGCGGTGATGTTGACCATTGTATTGATACTGGACGACGGCAGACTGCGTGAGGAGGCAGCCGATGAGACGCCGCTCAAACCCAAATTACTATTCGACGAACCAGAACCCGATGACGAAGAAGCGGAAGAGATGGTACATGGTGAATGCTGACCTCCAGCGGTACTACTCGTCGGTGAAGTGGGGCTTTTCTTCCAAGGATGAAAACCTTTTCCCACAGCTGCGTCGGCAAGGGGCGGTGGAGACTTACTAGACAATTTATTGCATTGCGCAGCCAACATTGCAAGCGGTGTTCCACGCAGACTAGGATGATCCTACAATAAAAGTAAGAAAAAAATTAATATTTTCAAAAACATATATAACTTAGAAATCTAGAAAAACTAGAAATTAATTAAAAAAACATATACAGGCGATAAATTAATTTCAACATCAAATATATAACGGTTAAAAGCACCCTCGTTGCGGTAAGCGCAATCAAAAGACAGTAAAACCAATTGATGTAGAAGCGTGAGAATATTCCACGAAGTACAAACCAATTTCCAACTGATCTGAATACAAATTGGTTATGTTCAATAAAAAAAAATCTACACAAAGATGGTCGCACACGGTGTTTCGACAAGAACTCCAAGTTAAAATAAATAAATTTTGATTTGTTCACTAAATCTAATTTGATTGCTACGCCAACTCAATTTCCTCTCGCAAACATATGACTACAACGTGATAGCAAATCCTCATCACGCAGCTGCCCCACCAATTATCCATTCATACTTCTACACCGATTTTTTGATTTATTCTATTTCGAAACGCCGCAACATACTAACAACACTCCTAACATTTGCTCAGAAAGAGTCTTCGAACAGTCAACAAGAGGAAGTCATTAAGATCCCAAATAGCGTTGAATTCAAAAACAAAAAAAGGAAGAGGAATAAAGAGTGAAGAAGGGGATATAGATTTTTGACTTCTTTGCCATGCAGCACTTGCGAAACGAAAGAACGTAAATCCTGACACTTGTTTGAGATTCTTGGTAAAAGTGTACTTATATTTCATTGGCGCCGAATTAAGTTGCCTTTTTCATTTAATCTGAAAGTCAGGCATCAGAGTTTGTTTGATGAATGGGTTTTGAAATAATTGCTTTCTCACCACAGTTTTTAATTACACACAAGTTTGTACATTAGAGAGTGAGAGTGTTATGTAACTTTTAATTTCATAAAAGAAAAATTTTGTTTAAATTAAGAATTAACGCTTATGACCGAATTTTAAGTTCTCCGCGCCTAAGAGCGAAAATATTGATAAATATTATATTTGAAGCATCTTGATGATATCAGCATAGCATAGTTGGTGCGAAATTGGACTATATAATTAGGGGTAACTTCCTACCTTCCTAATAAGATGTATACATAATTAATTTCTGTTAGTTAAGTTGACTTTGAAGTAAATATTTCTCACATTATATTACATAAAGTATTAAATAATTTGATATTAAAAATGAAGAAAATCGGTTTGCAATCGGTTTGTCTAAAAAGAAATGTGGTTTTCTATGCACAAATTATTTTCGAAATATTTCACTTAATTTCTTTTCCTTAAAATTGCGAGAGTATATCATACGCACCCCAACTTTTCATTCTTTACTTCTTTTCATGAATGTTTAAGTTGAATTAAAATATATTACGAAGTGATATTAAATTGTGCTTGTAAGTCTTTTCGCGATTTAAGGAAACAAACTTATACAAATAACCATTGTCATTTTATTAAGGCAAGACAAGCCACAATTTAAATTAGAGTGTTTGCTTAAAAAAGGGTAGAGAAGTACATTAACCAAAGTAAAAAATCTAAATTGAGGCTTAATTGAAGAAATTAAACTTCTTCGCCATATTAGTTGAAATATTTGAAGTAAGAAACCGTTTTACTTCAAAAATGTAAATAAATAAATAAAATTCAACTAATACATTGTAATATATATCACCTTTTATAATTCAACGGCCACATTAAAAGGCAATTGCGACATGCAGTTTTTCATAAAAAAAAGCATTATATTGCTATTTTATTGAAATCTAATGATATTTCAATTAATAATATTTTTTCTTTTCTAATGAAAATAAGAAGTTGATGAGCAGTATTGAGCTATTACTTTTAGAATTAAAACTGTTTTGTTTTATAAAATATATACCGAAGTAAAAAGTGAATTATTATGAGATCCGCTTTTTAAATTGTTAAACATTTTCAGTTACGTGTATATGTATGCACATATGCTTACACTTGCAGACATGTTCAGTGCCGCACACAAAATTATATGCATATTAAACATTTATGCATTTATTAGTAGCATTACAATTTGTATAAAATAATTGAAAGTTGTCTTGCTGCAAAACAAGATTATGCACACTACTATAGCATATCGATAGCGCAGCAGAAACATTTTCAGTTGCATTAGACAAGAAAATTTCCATACACAGTTATGGACAAATTAATAGGGTCGCTGTTTGAAAGTGTAAATTTAATTGAATTGTTTGAGATCCTTGATCGGCAGCTATTGAATGCTTTGGGGAAACAATTAGTGAGCATCAGGTTTCCATTCAAAACAAACGGTAAAGGAAATACATCCTAAAACTAAATAAAAAAGCGATAGGGTTAGTATGTTAATTAAAATTTTTTCTTATTTTCCTCGATAAAAAATACATTTTTATTATATTTCCCAATATTTCAGTTTGTCTTATTTATTTCCTTATGATTGTTTAAATATAGGACATACAAGGCATTTAACAAATTCGGCTCGTAAAATTATTTATTAATTGCGAAAGAAGGGTCAGCGTAAGATTGCCGAAATAATTGTACGTTTAAATGCCTTATTGCCAACAAAACCGCACTCCGAAAAAGGAAGGTCAAGTAAAACGACAGAAAAATTTGTTGACCTTATAAAAATTATATAAACGCCCATTTCTTTTAAAATATCTTCAGCAATAGTATCTGAGTTAGTTTGGCAGTTGTTTACTCTTACTGTAAGGCGCAGATGCGTTGACTAAAATGTATATGAAAGATCAACGCTAAAGGTGACAATACTGACATAGAAGCCAACGCTTATTGTTCACAAAATCTCACCATTAGTCAGGTGTATATAACGTCAAAATATTCTTATCATTTTAAACGAAACGACAAAAAAAAAATAAAATTTTTACCCAGGAAATCATGCAGGCGGATACATTTTGAAGTGGGAGTGCCTTTCATGGTCTGAAATTGAGCCAATATTTTATATCAAGGAAAACATGAGCAACCACCTTCACGTCCAAATACTAGAATAGAGTTTATGCAACAGTGGGAAAAACCTTTAAAATAAATTACATCAACAAGACAATGAACCCAAAAATACCTACGGTTGAATACAAATCGGTTTTGGCACAATTGAGTTGAAATTATGAATTGGCCTACGCAATCCAGACTTTAATGCTATAGGAAATTTGTGATAAGTAGTCAAGAAGCGTAGTAGTCAAGGTAGTTTCAATAAAAACTGAAAAAATTTTGTTCTGCAACAAGGATGCTATAATTTTGTAGATTCTACGTCTAAATGCTGCATTGACATGCTTATAAAGGATATTCTACCAAATATTAATTTTGATATTTATTTCGAAATAATTTCTTAGTTTAAAAATCTGTTGGGTTAAATATCCAAAAAATTCTAATAAGGTTAAATATTTTTATTTCTATAAGTTATGTGAAAAGTTATTTTTTTATTTCACCTTAAGATTACTTTCACATTTGTAATGAATACACATTTTTCATTTAAGAATAATGCAATAAAATATTTGAAATAATTCCACTTAATAGTTGTTTTTAATTGGCGTTTGTAAAATCTGTATGGGTGACCCTATTGTTTTGTCCATAACTGTAGAATCAATTATTAATTAATAATGTGTCAAGAGTAAATTCCTCGGCTTCAGTTGCTCGACTGTTAAAACGGTTTATAAACGACAAAATTGTCTAAATAAATCAAAATTGTTGAAACGTTTGCGCAGGCACACATTCATTAAATTCACCATTTAATTATTTTCCGTATAAATTACGAAAAACAGCAATGCCAACCACAAAATTACAATGCAACGCAAAGACCGTAGCATCACATGCAACAAGGCAACATCATTTAGACATTTGCAACATGCGCTAACGGTCAACGGTGGCAGGCGCGAAATTGCGATTGCAATTGCATTTATTTTAATTCGGCAACAACGGTTCAAGTTCACCTTAACGGGAAAATTGCTAACTACTGACTGTTGCCTGACTAGTCTTCTTTTGCCGGGTGAGCATTTGATTATTGGGTAATTGCTTTAATTGCAATTACTACTGCAACAACAACGGCGAACGAGTGAAGATCAGCCGCACAGTAGTCGCGCGCTTTTCATTGGCATAAAGTCGGCATTGCCAATTGGCAATTCTCTTACCAGCCTTGCTACCTGCCGCAGAAAACAAGAAAACGAAAAAGATATTTGGAAGCCAGCCACAATTTTCAGCTACTGCATTGCGCCCAAAAACAAAACCGCAGATTAATAGCACTGAAAATAAAATGCTTTGGAAATTAACATCTTCTCTTCTGCCCACCCTTCCATTGCGCCTTACACGTTAGTTTTTACTTGCTGCAACTTAGCAAGTGCTGCAACATTCGGCTTACAGTTTGACTACGTAGATTGGCAACCATTTGCTCGATAATAATTTACTTGCAAAAAAGAAGAAATTTGTAGAACTACGCCAATGGAATAGTAAAATTTTGGCGGAAGCTACTATTTTGTAGATAATTGCGTGTTACGTCTGAGCGGCAGCGCATACTGCGTCAATTTGCTACACAGTACAGCAGAAATCTCAACTGAATCGCAGTTAGAAAATTTCGCTTTTCATAGTTTCCTTTCACAATGATTGCCTTCTTGTTCTGCCTGTAATCTCAGTGATACCTTATTCCTCCTATTATAGCCTTTTTCTTATACCAGATAAAATGAATAAAAGAATTCAGCTAAATTAAAAGAAATTGCCCACGTTTAGACGCACAATTTTCTGGGCAATTCAACTTGTTTGGCATACATACTTGTGCAACATTTTCATTGGAGTAAGCTGTGGGCGCTCGCTCACGTGCGCCTAACACCAATTACGAACTCTTACTATATTCAGCGTAACTACTTTTACGAATAATACTCGACGAATGCAGTCGTGTGTGTGTGGTATTTACCAACCCACCAACTTAACAAACCACTTGCTGGTATATCTCGAATAGCTGGTATCAAGGTGAACCAGAGAGGCTTGACTTGTATCGTTAACCCACAATTCTCCCGGTGTA